TCTATCCGAGTCCTAGCAGGAGCATGTTTCCCCTCAGAGCACTTGGTACCTCTGCATTGAGGGGGGTCCACGGGCGCTTTGTGAGCTTCAGGGCATGGTGACGGAAGTGTTGCAGCATCGTTAACTGTGTGGTGTTTTGGAGGTGGCCAGGATGGTGGTCCGGCTTAGCCACGTGCTCCTGCCGATGGCCAGTGCGTCTTTGCTGCTCATTTAGCCTTTTGCTGTGTTTTTCTCCTTTCAGATCGTGTGAATCATGGAGAAGTTTGGCATGAACTTTGGAGGTGGCCCAAGTAAAAAAGATCTTCTAGAGACTATTGAATCGCAGAAGAAGCAGCTTCTCCAGTACCAGGTTCGGCTGAAGGATGTTGTCAGAGCCTACAAGAGCCTTCTTAAAGAGAAGGAAGCCTTGGAAGCCAGCTTGAAAGTCTTGTCTGTGTCTCACGAGGCAGATCTTGGCTTGAGCGGCGCTCAGCCTGCGTCTGTGGCTAGCTCCAGCTCTTCCTTTGCTGATTCTGCTGATGACAGGAGCTCGGTTCACAGCGAAGATAGCGTGGGGACAGCTACCAGCGCAGACACTGCTGCCAGTCTGGCCAGTACCAAGGGTGAGCCAGGGCCTGAGGATGATAAGCTGGCAGCCGGCTCTTCCTCTCTTAGATCAGAAGAGACGAGCGGGTCAGAGAGCGGCATCAGCACGAGCAGCGGGGATGCGTCATCTGCTGCTGGTGAGGCTGATAAAAGAGTGCTCCAGCTGAAGACCCAGTTGGCCACCTTGACCAGCGCCCTGTCAACAGTCACGCAGGAGAAGTCCCGCATGGAAGCCTCCTACCAAGCAGACAAGAAGAAGATGAAGCAGGACCTGGATGACGCCATTAAGAAAGCAGAGGACGAGACCGAGAAGTTGGAGACGGAGCTGAAATCTGCCCAGGAACAGCTGGCCGAGACCAAGGCCCGTCTGATCACGCAGCAGCACGACCGAGCCCAGGAACAGAGTGACCACGCTGTTATGCTGCGAGAGCTGCAGAAGCTGCTGCAGGGCGAGCGGACTTTGCGCCAGGATGCAGAGCTGAAGCTGGAGGAGACCAGGGAGGCGTTGGCCGGGAGGGCGTGCATGGCTGACCGTGCGGAGGGGTACGAGCTGCAGATCAAGCAGCTGAGCCGGGAGGTGGAAGACCTGAAGAGAGAGCTGCAGGCTGTTCAGGAGGTGCAGCTGCTGCAAGAGATGAGGAAGGTAATGCTCGCTCTGCGGGATGTATCAGCAGCACTCGGGGCAGGGTTTGGGGCTGGAGGAGCACAGATTCCCCTTCTCAGTCCCGCAGAGTCCAAGAGGTTTGAAATAAATGAGGGTGTCACAGCTTTGATTGATGGGATGATAGTCCCTGAGGAGAATAAAAGCTGTTTGTGATACAGCGTGTAAGTCGTGCCTCAGGGGGTGGTGACCACTGGATTTGGGAGCAGCCTTTGAGGCGATTACGCAGTGACTGTCCCCCTCGATGTCATGTGGTTCTGAACGCATCACCGTCTGGTGTGACAGCGGCCGGGCTTGGGAGGAGAGACCTTTGCTCTGGCCCACTATGGCAACGAGCACGGTCCCGTCTCGTGCAATAGAAGGTACAAGTACAGGAGCTCAGAAGAAGGAAATGCCTTCTGACCGACCTCCTTCGGTCAGGCTTGTGGTGCGCTAGGGAAGGAAGAAAGGTAAAGGCAGGAGAAGGGCTCTTGCCTGGGTG